TACTTTTAACTAGGGGTGTGCGCGGTGCGATTTGATGCAGTTTATAGTCAAAACCGCAAACCGCACCGCATGTGCGGTTTGACATTTTTGGAAACCATAAACCGCACCGCAAAGGACCTAAACCGCATGATGCGGTGTGGTGCGGTTTGATGCGGTTTTGGTGCGGTTTGATGAGTAACTAAAAATAATAATTTCATATGCATTAGACTAAATGTAAGTAATCTAAGTTTTAAAATCTTAAATATAGATTATGTCTACTAGTGAAAAGTAGCTACAAACATTGTACAAAACAACATTAATCAATCAAACAAGCCAATAACTATTTCATAGAAACTAACATAAGCCAATAGCCCAATAGCTACAAACATTGTACAAAACAACATTAATCAATCAAACAAGCCAATAACTATTTCATAGAAACTAACATAAGCCAATAGCCCAATAGTATTAAAAACAAGCAAAGTAGCAGCTAGAATTAAGCAAAACATAACTACAAGTTGTCTAAAACAACTGGGAAAGTCATCCAAAACAACAGCAAACTTCCAGCAAAAAAAAGATTCAAGACAACAACAAAAACCTGCAAAAATCATGCAGCAAAAATCAATAAAATAATGGTATGGAAAAGGAATGCATTTTCACTAAAAAAAGCATTTATATTGAAATCACCTATAGTTGCTTGCCTGTAGCATATTCTAACAATCTATTCAAGATCCACAACTTCAGATACACAATCTGCAACAGAAAGAAATATTTATTAATTAAAAATTATAATTTGATAAAATTAAGTAGATATTTTACCTGAATCAACAGATTCATATGCTTCTATATCCTCCATTAGAGAACCCATATCTAAAGCTAAAGATGAAGATCTTAACCAATTTTGACAACATATCAGAGCTTGCACCATAGTAGGATCCAAAGAGCTTCGAAAGCAATCAAGCACCCTTCCTCATGTACTAAAAGCAGACTCAGAAGCTACTGTTGAAACTTGAATGGCGAGAACATCACGATCCATCATTGCCAAAACAAGATATTTAGATGCATACATTTTCCACCATTCCAATATATCAAAATCTTTGTTTTTCCTTTCCCCATTACTTCGTTCTTCCAAGTACCGATCAAGCTCATTTGTCTTAACTAAAGCCTCATCTTCCTCACATTCCTTTTCAAAATCAATAGCAAACATGTTAAAATCATCATCATCATCAACAACAACTAGCATTGAACTTTTATCCGAAGTAGAAATAGATGAACCATATTGAGTGCTACTAACTTGGGGATTTTTCATTTTGAATTCATCAGAATAATGAGAGAATAGATTTGACATAGAATTATTCACAGATGCAACGATGGATTCTACTTCCTTTGAACTATATAACTTCTTCAAACACGATTTCACAAATCTCATCTTGTATCGAGGGTCAAGAACAACAGCAACATAAAGAAGCACCTTTTGTTTTTCAGTACAACCCCAATACTTTTCAAATTTGGTCTTCATCTTTGAAGCCATATCCTTCAAGATTGTCTGGTCACTATCACACAACTTCATTATTTTGCCATGTATAGTGCACATTTCATGAAAGTAAGAATTTGAAGTAACAAATAAAGAGGCACTGAACTTGAGTGTAGCTTCATAAAATATTTTCAAAAACTTGCATAAGATCGCACAATTCTCCCAATCTTTAGATGTTGGTGGTCCTGTTAAACTCTTCCCATTTCGATATTTATCAGTAAAATATTGCATGTAAAACCCATCTTCTTCTTCAAGTAACTTGAAAGCATCAGAATACTTTATTGCACGATCCAACATAAAATATGTTGAGTTCCACCTTGTTGCTACATCCAAGCAAATAAAAGCCTTTTCTTCTTTACAGGTATTCTTCACACACCTTTGGAATCTTCCTAATCTTGTTGGAGAAGCTCTAACATATCTAATTGCATTACGAATAGCAACAATAGAATCATTTACTTCTTTCAATCCGTCACCTACAACTAAGTTAAGAATATGCGCGAAACACCTCATATGCAGAAACTCCCCATCACAAATCGCAGTCTTCCACATTTGCAATCGTTTCTTGATGTGAACAATAGCAACATTATTAGAGGATGCATTATCAACTGTAATGGAAAACACCTTATCGATACCCCACCCCCTTAAGCATGTCTCAATTGATTTGCCTATCGTGTCTCCTTTGTGATTAGGAATTTGACAAAATTCAAAATCTTTTTTCGCATTTTCCATTCATGATCTATAAAATGTGACGTCAACACCATGTAACAAACATTTTGAATGGAAGTCCATGTATCAGTGGTCAAGGAAACTCTTTGTGAATGTTTAATAAAGTAATCCTTCAGTTTCTTCTTCTCATCACGGTATAACTTCTTGATATCCCTCGAAACTGTGGTGCGTGATGGTGTACCAAACTTGGGACATGCGACACTGCAAAATAACTTAAAACCTTCTTGCTCTACAAACCTAAAAGATAACTCATCAAGGATAATCATTTTAACACATGCAATCCTACAGTCAAATTGGCTAAATCCAACAGCCTTTAGATTATTTCCTTCAACACTTTCATTCCCACCCCCATCATCTTCTGGAAGATCAAAGTTTTTTGTTTTTTATCTTGCAATCTTGCTGGATTATTTGGACACTGATTAACGATATGATACCTAAGTGTACTAGTTCCATAACTTCGGTCGCCACCACTGTAAACCTTATCACAGTGAAGGCATGTCATGTGGTGCGGTCCGGTTTGAACCATGATTTTTTAAACAAAAACCGCAAACCGCACCGTATACTGCGGTTTACAAAAACTACAAACCGTAAACCGTACCGCGGAAGTCAAAAAACCGCATTATGCGGTGCGGTGCGGGCGGTTTATGCGGTTTGTGCGGTTTTATGCACACCCCTACTTTTAACAACATTAACTGTATTTATTTCTAATTTTCACGGTTGCAGAAATCGGGATTAATCGTGGATTAATCGCTTGACGTTCTCCAACCATCGAAGGTTAGAGTATTAATCGGGTTTGACGGGATTAATCGGTCTTGGCGGGATTAATCGGTCAACAAAAGTCAAAAAAGTCGAAAAAAGTAAAAAAAAAATAAAAAAATAAAAAACTCAACTTTTTTTTTTTACTCCAAAATTTTCAAATTTTCAAGATTTTGAAATATTATACCAAAATGTTCATATTTTCGTATTTTCAAAATTTCAAATTTCAAATTTTTTTATTTTCTAATTTTTAAGTACTTGTTTTTTTTTTTAAGATATATTAATATTTGATTAATTTTGATATTTTATAAATAATCCATGGTCTCCGATTAATCCCTGATTAATCCCCGCCAAGACCGATTAATCTATTAACACTAGTCGACCGTCGAGCTACCATCGAACGATTTTTACAACCTTTGTAATTTTATATATATATATATATATATATATATATATATATATATATATATATATAATATTATTTAAAGAAACTTATATTAAATTTTTTATTTTACTACATAACTTATCTTTATTTATTTCTTTTATTATTTGGAACAAAAATTATCTTTCAATTGCTAACTTTTGTTTTTTCGAACAAATTAAATATGACAATGGGATTAATATGCAGATATTACCCAAAAAAGGGGGATATATACATTAAAGTCCCAATATTTTCATCTGAATCAAAAATAAGTAACTTGCCGGCCCTCTTCCTTTACGTCCTTCACCCAGCTAGGCAAACGCAGCGCAGCTCAGTCGTACAAGTTCACGTCAGTTCCCACCGATAGGCGCAGGTAGCTTGCTTCCAAGCCTTGCCTTATATGATAGTTGTGGCCATGGCCCGAAGGAGCCTTAAGCACTTGTAGTGACATAGCAGTTCTCCTAATCGACTACTTATCATAATGAACACGGGAAAGCTTTCAGGCTTACTGCTCTACTGGTTTCAAGCAAGACCTAGCCTCTCCAGCTTATTCATAAGGGCGAAGAGGACTAACTAGCTGCTGATTTGACAAGAAAGTCCTAAACTTTATTTTTACTGCTCTACTGGTTTCAAGCAAGACCTAGCCTCTCCAGCTTATTCATTAGGGCGAAGAGGACTAACTAGCTGCTGATTTGACAAGAAAGTCCTAAACTTTATTTTTTTGACAGTAAAGTCCAAATTACCGGTAGTTTTTGACACTTTCACCCTTTTTTCCCGGTTAGCCGGTAATTAGGATTTTTTTGTCAAAAAAAAAAAGTTTAGGACTTTCTTGTCAAATCGTCAATTAGGACTTTATTGTCAAAAAAATAAAGTCTAGGACTTTCTTGTCAAATCGTTGAAAATAATAGGACTTTAGTGTATATCTCCTTTTTTTGTTAGAAATTTAATGGTAGGATACTCTTTAAGTATAAGAGTTATTAAAATTTTCTCTAGTCAGCTAGATCCTATTGCAATCCTTAACATTTGCTTATTGTTAAATCGTTTTTTTAATCTCAACAAACCAACATTGAAAAAATTGGAGATAATTAAAAAGAAAGAAAGAAGCAGAGTTGTGTTGGCTTTTTGCAGTCCCAAAAATGGAGAAATAAGAAACCGAACCCTCGTTCTTTCTTTCTTTCTTTCTTGATTATCTCAACTTTTTTCAATGTCGGTTTGTTGAGATTAAAAAAACGATTTAACAAGAAGCAAATGTTAAGGATTTCAATAGGATCTAGCTGATTAGAGAATGTTTTAATAACTCTTATGCTTAAAGAGTATTATACCATTAAATTTCTAACCAAAAAAAATTATATATACACTAAAGTCCCAATATTTTTAACGATTTGACAACAAAGTCCTAAACTTTATTTTTTTGACAGTAAAGTCCTAATTGACGATTTGACAAGAAAGTCCTAAACTTTATTTTTTTTTTGACAAAAAAGTCCTAATTACCGGCTAACCGGGGAAAAAGGGTAAAAGTGTCAAAAACTGCCGGTAATTTGGACTTTACTGTCAAAAAAATAAAGTTTAGGACTTTCTTGTCAAATGGATGAAAATATTGAGACTTTACTGTATATATCCCAAAAAAAACAAATAAAATAAATAAATTAAAGGACCCACTTGCTTCAAGCCTTCAATAGTCAATCGTAGCAAAATCAGCTGTCGTTCCTCTCAAATCTCATATTTGAAGTTTTCTGCTTGCCAAGATCTGGTTTCCCCCCAGGGTTCAAACTTCTACATCACCATGTGATCCAACACTGCAGATTACCAGAACAAAAAGCCCACACAGATCTAAATCGTTTTCATTTACAGGCAAGTTCCCATTTTTTTTTATTTCTCAAGGTTCGATTCTTAGCTGCAGCTGTGTGAATTTCACTTTCTGTATGTAATGTGATTGAATTTGTTGTTGGTTGTGTTCATATGCTTGTGGGTGTCGCATAATTGCTTGGATCTTGGTGATTCTCTTGAACTATCTTATTCATTACATTTCTTCAAGTTCTTGATGAATTGGGATTCGGATTTGGTATAATGTCCTCGATCCAGATAATTCTCTTGAAGTTTCACCTATCTTTTATTGTTTTCTGAAAGTAATGCTAGAATTTAATTGTAACCGAAGGTGGTTAGTTGGGGGGTGGAAGTGTTAGATCAAGATCCGTACAAATTAAGTTGGAAAGTCTGGAAAAAAAATGATGTTAAATTCATAATTCATGTCAAAATTTGATTTTGAGAAGTAATTCATGTCAAAATTGCTATCTTTTTATGGAATGATATCATAACAAATTTCTTTGAAACTATATTTACAGTGATGGGGAAGAAAGGAAGCTGGTTATCTTCCATTAAAAAGGCTCTAAGTCCTAACACGAAGGAAAAGAAAAACCAGGTTTGATACAAACATGATCCATCACAACATTATCTAGCTAAATTTCTAATTAATTAACAATAAATTCATTGATTATTTCCAGAAATCAAAGAAGAAAGCGCTTGGGGACGAAAAACCTTCAGTACCTAATGTAGGACCCGCCAGTGTATCTCGTCATCCTCCGCCACCAGAAGTAAACCCGATTGAAGTGGCGGATGAGCAACCAAAAGTACTGGCAGCTCAGCCTTCTCGACTCACTGAGTTGTCTCGGTATTCAGGAAAATCGATGGATGAGATAGCAACTATCAGGATTCAAACAGCTTTTCGAGGGTACTTGGTATGCTCTTATTGTATCAAATCATTCTTGTAAAGATTTTCAGAAAGCTTATTATTAGTTATGTGATGAATTTACTATTTTCATATTTTCAGGCGAGGAGAGCGTTTAGGGCCCTGAGAGGACTCGTTAGATTGAAAACATTAGTTGATGGGCCAACTGCCAATCGACAAATTGCTAACACGCTCAAATCTATGCAAAATCTATCTCGTGTGCAGTGTCAAATAAATTCTAGGAGGATCAGAATGTCCGAAGAGAATCAAACTCTCCAGAGACAACTCCTACAAAAACAAGCAAAAGAACTCGAGAGTTTACAGGTTAGTAGTAGTACCGGATACCAGTATAAAACCGGTATCCGGTACTAGTCCAGGTACCAGAATTAGTACCCGGTACCAATATTGGTTACCTAATACTAGTACCAGGTACCAATATTGGTTACCTAATACGGGTATGCGTACTAGTTTTTAATCTTTATAATTATATTAATGAATATAATCAAATGTTATCGCAGATGGGAGAAGATTGGAATGATAGCTTGCAGTCGAAGGAACAAATTGAAGCAAAATTGTTAAGCAAGTATGAAGCAGCTATGAGACGAGAACGGGCCATGGCTTATTCCTTTTCTCATCAGGTATATAATCGTCTTGCTTAAAATGCGGATAAATCCAAGAAATAGCAATGTAGTTTTATTTATTTGTTTATTATCGCATCAGATTTTCATTTTTTTTAATTCTTTTTGAAACAGCAACCATGGAAGAAGTCATCAAGAACAACAAACTTGCTCTTCATGGACCCCACAAATCCCCAATGGGGTTGGAGCTGGTTAGAGCGATACATGGCGGGCCGGGCCTGGGACCCACGGGGCGAAAAAGATCATTCGTCTGTTAAAAACGGTATCAACATGACCGGGCTCGAAATCGCAAAATCTTACGCTCGTCGCCAGCTCATCACCATTCCTTCAACTCCAAAGTCAAGAAGTGTTCCGGTTGCATCAAGGAAATCGAAGCGTGGGCCTGGCCCGCGGGCCTTTGGGTCGGGCCTGGATGAGGACTCGAGAAGTGTTGGAACTGTAAAATCTGAGATGAATAGAAGGCATAGCATCGCAGGGTCTTCTGTGAGAGATGATGAAAGCATTGATAGCTCTCTATCGGTTCCTAGTTACATGGCACAAACAAAATCAGCAAAGGCGCGAACGAGGGGACAGAGCTTGTTGGGCCCGATTAGCCCGGAAAAAGAGTTGGGCCCAAAGAAGCGGCTTTCGTTTGCGGAACCTGTGGGTAGACAGAGGCGCCATTCGGGCCCACCAAGGATGCAAAGCAGCACTTCCATGGTCATTTGAGAAAGTTGCAAGTCATTAGTGTGGTGAAACAAGAAGAAAGTATTGTGTTATGTCACAAGGGTTCATACTTTATAGAGGCGCAAAATAAGAAAAGTTTGCAAAGAGAGATATATAGGTGTCAAAGTAGATTGTTGTTCATTTAATTAATTTGTTTGAGAATTGTGGGGTGTGGCTTATAGTTATGTTTAATAAGAACAAAAATCCGAAGTGATAATTTTAGGCGTGTGGTTTGACAACCCTCAAAACAAAGATCAATAATGATTATGTGATAATGTCATAAGCCTTTGGAAAAACAAGAGTCTTAAAGAAGAAAGAATTAAGATTAAACATGCTTGAATAACATGTAGAGAGGAAGAGAAACACCGCATCCTTGGAAGCCACGAGCAAGCACATAATAAGTTGTAGAATCTGGTCTCAACCCGTTGCACATCATCTCTTGAAACATGTATAATGCATTCCAAGGTTCCCCTTGTAGACAATACCCATCAATCAAAGTCCTATAATGCATTTTCCAAAGCTTCATTTTCCTACCTTTCATCCCCTTCTTCTACCAACTCCATCGCATCTTTCATTCTTCGTAGTTTACATGCAGCATCAATCGCAAAATCAAACGTGACTCCATCAATGAAAACCTTTGATGATTTTTGCATAAATTCCTTAAAAAAAGATAGAGCTTCATCAAGGCTTCCCACACCACACAAGTATTGTAGCATGCACCTCATAAGCACATAATCGGCTTTGATACCTACTCTTGATTTCATTTCATCACAGAGATCAAATGCCTTAGTGGTGTCCCCTTTCTTTAAATACTCTAGAATTAATGCGCCATAACAATCTTCATCAGGGACAATTTCTCTAATCTTCATTTCATGAAGCAACACATCTTCTGCATCTTGTATCTTCCCCTCTCTTAGAAAACCATGAATGACACAAGTATATGCACAGGGGCGGACGCAGGATTCTGTAGTAGGTGTTGCCGGTCCGTAATAGGTGTTGCCGATCCATAGTAGGTGTTGCCGGTGACACATTTTATAGTAGAAAAAAGAAAAAAAAAATCGAAAATTTTGCACTACGTCGGGAAAAACTAGGTGTTGCCGGTGCCACCGTTGGCACCATACTAGATCCGTCATTGTATATGCAAAAACATCAACCGACTCATTCAACTCCCTGAATATCTTTAATATCTGAAAGGCGAAATCAGTTTCCCATATCGAGCACAACTCATGAATAAACGTACCAATAATGAAAGCATTAGGTTCGACTCTAGGCTCATTCATTTGTGCAAAGACTTCCAAAGCTTCCTCCAAACGACCCATACTACAATGTGCTTTAATCAGAATCCCATATGTATACACATTTGGAATCAACCCATTCCTCTTCAGTTCTCTGTAAACCGAGTCTAGCATAGGCACTTTCTCCCACTCGATCAACTCTTTTAATACAAAATTACATGTTCGTGTTGACACCATAAGTCCACCCCTGCTTCTCATCTTTGACAAGATGTGCATCGCCTCCTCAAACCTTCCAACACTTGCATACACCTTAACCAACACATCAACAGCTTTTATTAATTTTTCCTCTATCAAAGCTTCTAAAAGATCAGAGATTTCAAAACCAACAGGTTCCCTGTTTATATTCTCATCAATGACATACATAAACAAATGATTTAGCCTTACATATATACCCGAGTCACACAATAATCGAATGATTGCCATGTAAGTTTCAACATCATGTTTAAAACCAGACTCTTTCAATTGACGGGAAAATAACAACGCACTCATTCGTTCTCTCTTCCAATGATCCACGGTTTTATTAATAACCTTAAACTTAACGAGTTTTTCATTAGGATGACATAACACATTGGTGTCCGACGATGAGTCTGACACGTCGGAGCATGTTGTATAGGCAAGCAATCTAACAGATTTCCAACGGAGATTCCTGGAACTTTTTACCAAATTACAGCAACCCAACCGGATAAAAGGAGGCCACATGGTGTATTAGGTTAGTCTTTGACAAGAAAATGGAAAAGTTATTTTGAATATGATCGTTGTCGAAGGAGTTTGGAGAATGGAAACAGAACTAAACCAAGGTAGCCTTTGGCAGGGACAAGTTGGGAGTTTTTTGGGTGAAGGAGAGAAGAAATGGCGATTCAGAATCAAGAACAAAGCCGACGCGGCTGATCGCGATTCGATTGATTTTCCATATGAGTAATGCAATAATTATGGAAAGGATAACTATTCTAGTATATTAAAAGTGCTACATTTACGAAAATATAACTATTTATGATATGAATAATGCTATAATTATGGTAAAGATAACTATTCTATTATATTATACATGAATAGAATCCATAATTATACATGAGCGAAAATTTTGAGATAGACAAACTTGAACTAAGCTTCTCAAAGAGGAGGATATTCTAAATATATTTTGGGCCTAAGGGAGAAAAAAACAAAAAGCAACTCAAGATACAAATATAGCGAAACAATTTATAAAAATCTACTAATTTAAAAAAAAAAATACTTCCTGTAGCCTTTTTTTAGATATAAAATCATTAGTAATAATACCAAGATAAAAAAAACATTTGTTTGGTAGTTGTGTTTTGTGTCTTCTATCCGGTGGTTGGTCAGGAGTTCGAATTCGAGGAAGACGATTTTAAATGCCGTTCTAAAAAATTAGTATCAAGATCAATTTTGTCTAGCATATCTTTATTCATATATGAAGTAGTCAAATCGTTTAACATTTCTTGTGATATTGCTTAAGTAATTCTATAATAACTTAAGCTTTTGAAAAACTTCTCTCTACGGATGTTACATAAGATTCTATATGTAATGAAATTCTAACGATGAATACTTAGAAGTTGAGACGTCATAATCGACTGATCCATTCTATTGTTGCTTGATTGGTTCATAGATCATCAATTTACAATTTGTCGATTTGATGTCCTCCATTTTGGTTGCAACTACTCACCTTTTTATGAACAATAATATATATATATATATATATATATATATATATATATATATATATATATATATATATACTAGGTAGGTTAAAGGCCCGTGCTAAGCACGGGCCACAAACAATTATCGTGCATGGTGTAGTAATGTTATTATGGAGAATATACAGCGAACAAAGTATCCTTGTCATTACATCAAATGTTGATCTCAACTTCAGTTTGGAAACAATAATGCTATAAATGGGTAGATTTTTCATAGTATAATGACTTAATAGAAAAAAAATGAAGTTGTATGCTATAACAGGAAAACAATGAGATTAGAATGTTGTAAAATTATAACACACAAACAATTGAAAGTAAATTGATACTTCTTGTGTGAATTAAAACCTTTTTGTGCTTAATCTATTTTATTCCACTGTTTATATTGGATCTGGATCCTAGATTAGAGACATAAAAGCTGGATATATTTTGAGTCTAAATATCAATGATTCCCACCATACAATAGCCTTATTAGAATGCAAGTATTTCACAGTTTCTCTTGCTAAAATTGTTAAAAAGCTCCCTGATAAGGATACATCTGGTGCTGAATAACAAAGGGCTTGTTAAAAAGCATTCTAATAATGATACCTCTTGAACTGAATAACAAAGTGCTAACCTACCTGATTACAAAGTTTTTGATTTTAAAATTGCAACTGTAGGTTACGTATAGCTATTATCAGTAAGCAATAATTATAAGTACGTTGCTATTATAGGTAAAACATATAGTACATAAATTCATAAACTACTGGCAAGAGTAAAGTACGTTGCCATTGTCGTGTAACTTGCCCTTTAAATAACATTAAGGGAGCTCAAACTGTGGAATATCACGGTAAATGTAAGACTTGAACTATCTTTGAAATCAAATTCTATAATATCATGGAGCACTGATTATAAACTTGTAAAACATATTGTTATTAAAGATAAAAACTAAAATATATTGCCTTTATTGCTAAAAATAATAAAAGCACATTGCTATCTAAAGAAAAAACTCACCACATGTAAAAAAAAAAAAATTATGATATCCAATCAGCTAACTTCTGTATAAGAGCTCTTGCAATAATTCAGTATTACCTCGTTTTTTACCACTATCTTTTTCCCCAAATATGCCTTTTGTTACTCTTATCAGGTGTATTAGCAACCTGACCCTCCATGGGTTGGACCAAAAAAAAATTATGGGGGAAAAATAATTTTGAAGAGTTCAAATATATTATTTTGAAGGGGTCAAAATATATTATTTTTAAACAAAGACATAATTCTTAATTTTTTTTTTCATGGGGGCAAGTGCTCCCACTGGCTCCGGTGTAGGTCCACCCCTTATTGCCACTTGTGCAGTCAATATTGGCAATCAAAATTACCTGGCCAATAGTTAAAAACTTATTATAACACCTTAAAATCACTTTACAATCTACGAAAACCAACTACCGAGTAAAAGGAACATCAGATATTCTATACCACCATCGTATCAACTATCAACTAAAGTAACAACACGATCACTCTCCCTATATATAAAAATATACTTTTAAAACATGATACATAATTTGTGGTGTTAATCATGAATCTAATCCCTTAACCCCAATCCATGTCCCATGTCCGATTCCTTTCCTTTGCACATGCATGAAAGCAACCCTTTTACAAATAACAAACATAATAAAAATTACCTCAGTTGTCAACGATATACTATAAAATTGCGAAAAAGCAAAACAAACTTTACTCAAACATTATTAGATGCCTGATACATGTATGTGAATGGGACAGGCAAGTTCATTAGACACATGTTATTGATGTTTGCGTATATTACCCAAGAACATGGAGCGTCCATTAAAAACTCACACCCACCCTATAGCAAGTTTATCTCTTCCTATTCAGCTGTAACTATAAAAACAAACCACAAAATCACATAGCTGAATCAGTATTAAAAAGACTTGATGAGAGCAATTTTGTAAAGTCTAGAGTGAGCCATATATATATATATATATATATATATATATATATAATATATATATATATATATATAATTGCATCTTCTTCATATTTGGGTCTTTAAATTTGGCTCCCTGGTATTTGTAAATTCTCTTATTTTTTCTTAAAAGTAGACTAGTTATTATATATGAATATTATATAGCCTATAAATTTTTTTGGCCACTTGGAATGATGGGCCCTTGGCGGTCTCCTATCATCCACCGTCTAGACCAGGTGTGTCAAAAAGATACCATGACAAACATTTAATTGTAAATATAATTGTATATTCATGAACAATGGGTTAGAACATGTATTTTGTTTCTTGGAAATACCCATGTAAAACTTCTTGGCATCATGTTGATTTATTGGCTAAAAGCGGTTAAGATCAAAACAATGCAGATTGTGGTAGGTTTAATCACTTGACTAGAGTGTTTGGGGTTGCTTATTTAAAACAATTTATGTTTATTTCTAAAAGTATTTATTAGCTTTGTGTTTGACAAACTTTATTTTATACGTACTAATAAAACAACTTATTAAAAAATCATTAAATAAGTGAAAAAGTAAGTAATAAGTAACTTATCAAAAACTCTCAATGTGAGTCAATAAGTACTTATGAAATATTTTTATCAAAACTTACAAAATCTTTATTACCAGTGCCAAACCAAAAACAAGTCAATAAACACTTCAAATAAGCAATAACATCCTATAACAAGGAATCACATGAAATCTCGAGTTATTGGCATTTTGACAAATTATGTTATATACATTTAAGGTACTTGTCAATAGGGTCGGTCCGTAAGAAGGGGCAACTTGGGCAACCGCTCAGCCCAATCAGTTTGGGGTCCCAAATTAATGTTGATCGTTTACAAGGAGTTTAGCAACATCACAAAGGTATTGGAACGTCAAAAATGAATGCACCAGTGACATCAATTTACCAAACGATAGAGCAAAGCGACCAAGATGAAGTGAAGCCCCCAACAAGACTGCGACTCTGTCTCTCCTACTCTTTAAGTTTTTCAAAATTTTATTGTTCTTTTTGTAAACCGATTTGCTAATCCATTTCCGACATGATATCTAATTACTGAAGTTCTAGAAGTTCCAAATATTGATTTCTAAAATTTGAAGTTCTAAAATTCAATTTGTAACTAAACTGATTTCTCAATCTCTATGATTCTATTTGCTCCTCTTTGATGGTAAATGAAATATGTAAATCATTTAATTTTTATTTTATCCTCTCATAAGTTTTTAGGAGTTTCAAGTTAGGGTCAAATTTGAAAAATAATGAAAAAAAATGTAGAAAAAAAAGGCAATATGGGAGAGACAACATGAGTATGTGTATCACCCTTCATTAGGTTGTATCACCAAATGTAGTTGCGGAAAATATATGGTCCCAATACACTTAAAACAAATTAACAAGTTCAAAATAGTGAGGTCATTAACAATAAACATATCATAACACTTGCTTAAGATCACCACACAAATCATGGTCTTCTCAAAGTCCAATCAAAGACTTTCAACTCTTTAATTCTATCTTGAATCAACTCTTTAATTCTATCTTGAATCAGAGCATATTTCAAAATAAGTTAGGTAATGGATTCGCTTATTGAGAATACCCCGATGTTGAATTAGTTAAAGTGGTGATGATGGCAATCATCAAACTCGAGACCAACCCCTAAAAATAGTTTAAAACATCATCAAAGATATTCTAATTTAATAACCCAAAATCAACTTAAAAACCCACGAATTTTTTTAGGCCAAGAGCGATTAGCCAAATCAAATCAATAATCAACATCAAGGAAAACACCAACATAATAGTAGTAATATGCAACTATACCAATTCCTAATTCCATCTCAATAAATCTAACCTCACTATTTAATGGTTAAAAGTTTGTGCATGAATGATAGTATTCCAAACATACATCATGTGGTTATGAAGGAGCGTGTTCCACACACAACCAATAGGATGATGTAAGATGGAGTGTATTTCAAACAAACATATACCCAACCCTTTCAACCGAAACTAGGTGTTTATGAAGCAACACACAAACACCACACAATGGGTAGCGGTCCCACTTATTCATAGTGATGATTATCTAGAAATCAACTCGTTTTCAATATACATGATAAATTTCAATCCCATATGGATATAACGAATGACTCGTAAGGGCACCCATCCTAAAATGTATGTACATATATAATGCTAAATCATTTTCAACATAAATCAATTCTATCAATATTTTCGTTATTTCTGTAATTAAAATGCAAGAAATCATGGTCAAAATATCATATTTTTATTGGAAAAAAACACACAAAATCATAGATGACTCTATGCCATATGCCATTCAACTTTTAAGGAAAACCCTTTCAAAACAACTTTGTATATAATGCACACATATTACATATAATATAGCACATTGTATGTAGAAACAACATAAGGATCAACAAATATCTTGTAGCATATTAGAACATAATAATAGTAAGTTTCTCTTTGCTCTCTAATGGCACAAGAAGGATTTCATTCTGACAATTTTGAAAGTTGTCTATTATTTTCTTGTTTTATTAGATTTCATACATTTAGGAAAGCCATTTATTAGTTTTGCGTAAAAAACACTGTACATTTAGGAAAATTTAGACAGGAAATCACATGCGAGGAGTGCCACCTACAATTTCATGCTTTAGTTACTTGTATTTAGTGCATTATGACATGTACACACATGATTTCTTCTCTATAAACTATGATTTGCTCTATATAAACTATGATTTGCTCTGAAATAGTACAAGTCACTAATGCACGCCTCATGCATTAATAATTTGTACAATCGTAGGCGACATGCAATATTTTGTAAATTGTTACAGGTTTTATAAAACATGGTAGTTAATTTTAAATAATAAAATAATTTGTATTCGAACAAAAACGTTAGCACAGTTGTAAATATTAAAGGTTTGGGAAATAAACTTTGGCAATATTTGACAAGATAGAAGGTGGACATCATGATTTATTCCAAATGAGTGCATTTGAACACTTCTTGGACGTAATGGTACCCGACAAGGGACATATTACTTGTTCACATAAGGTTGTGGGGAGTGGTCACAACCAAACCACCAACCTATTCAAACTCACATACGTATTTTAGCATTCCTTAACCAACCCACCATTTATGGAAATGGTGTTCACCGGTGGGTTGGTAGTGAAGAGGCAAAAAGGAAGAGAGAGAGAGAGAGAGAGAGAGAGAGAGAGAGAGAGAATGTGAGAGGAAAATTAAAGAACCAATGAAAATGTATGTCTTCTTTCGTCTTCACAACCACTACAACCCACTTCACACCCAAACCACCGGTCCATGGGGCGGTGTTCACCGGTGGGTTGGTGTGCCACATAGGAAACTCACAACCCACTCCGGATAGCCAAATGTTGCTCCATGAGATCCGCCCCACTAAAATCTTAGAATTAGCATGGCCAAAAAAAATTAAATTTTCAAGTAGATACATATAGCATGTCATATGGAGCATATGGGTTCTTTTTATTTGCAAGGTTTTATTTCGGTTGGTTTTAAAAAACACTAAAAAAAAAAAGTATTACAAAAGGCTATAAAAGGCTATAAAATTAACCAAAAAATCACTGAAATTAGGACTCATATATTTTTAGTTCAAATTTAACTGAAAAAACACTTAAATTAAAAACAATAGAACTCATACTTTACATTTCATATAATCTATAACTAAAATGTATGCAATCGAGGTTAAAATATTAGAATTCGTAATCAAATGCACGAAATCATAGTCAAAATGTCATGACTTTTATTGGAAAAAAAGCACATGAAATCGCAAATAGCTTCATGTCATCTGTGATTTCAGCAACGATCAATTTAAAAAATTGGCTTTTATATCTATAAACTATTGGACTGGAAAAAGGCCGAAAAGAGTTGAAATCACAACCCAACTTGCTAAAATCACATATAAGCATAATCATGTGTAATTTTGATAGCTATATTATGTTGGGAATATTAGGGTTTGTAGTGGAGATCTGGATACCGACTTGGATCGTGATATCACTTTCCGAACTGATATTTCTACCCTATGTCTAGGTTACAAGAAATTCAGCCTAGGATAATCGAAGTGGACACTTACGATTCTAGGCACAGAAATCGTAAGCCAATATGCCAGAGGATTCTGTGAAAGTGTGATGAAAAACGAGAGCTTAAGATCGTCTCCCTCTTCTGAAAAGAAGAGCCGTTTATATAATAAACGATATTAGAGTTTCATTAGGTTGGGCCGTCATTAGTTGCTTTGGAAGCAAGTAATATTAATCCGGATTTAATGAGGATTTAGGGTTCCCAAAACTAACGAGTTTCGTTAGTTTTACCATAAACACCCTCAAGAAATTGAATTTTCCACTATGGTCCCATATGTAAAAATTCGGTGAGGTTTTGAGGCGCTGCCCCAAACCCCGCAGGGGCGCTGCCCCTTTGGAAACCCCGGACCCCCGACTAGTCATCGAACCGACTTCTAATTCGATCTTATACATGCGTGCACTCCGCACAACCCCGTAATATAATAGAGTACAAATTATGAAGCCCCTTAGCTCACATGTTAGTTCCAGTTACTTAAAATGACATGATGACACTAAAATCACCAACATATTAGACTAAATTTTTACTAAAACTTTCAAAGTCATTAAAAATGAATTTGTAATTTAGTCTTTAGGGAAAAGTAGAAGTAGTTGCGAGTTTTTCATTTACAGAATTACAGTGGACTTCCAATAAGGCTCAAAATTAAAGGAAGCCCACTAATAAGAGTCCAACGCAGCCCTTTTACCATAACATAAGTCATAAGATGCATTTTCATATATAACTCGGTGTCATTGGCCTTCCATATCATCCACGATTAGGGTTTTAAGCAGCCGAACGTTGCTCGCCAAAAACTTGATCCGGATCGCTTCAGTCTTGCAAACATGGGGTACGCATAATGTCCATTGATGCAATTCATCTTCTTATTAATCTATATGATTGTATACGTCTGTGTATATCTTATGACAGTAAATGAATATCATATGATTGATATTTTCCACGTAGCCTTGTTTAATCGATCGAACGAACGAACTTGATATATACACCTAGAAACCGATTTTTGGCGGATTCGTATGCTTTGTTAGGAAATTGATGGAAAACAGAAATAGTTCGATTGACATTGCCAGTAGGATTGGTATATAGATTTTGGCGTTCCGTAGTTGCTCTTGAATTCAATGGAAAGCATTTTGATTCACATCAAACGTTTTTAATTACAATAATCTTAATGATTCCAACTTTACAGTAAAACACATGGAATGGGAGCTGGACGCAAGCTAAAGTCCCATCGCAGGCGACAAAGATGGGCAGACAAGTCATACAAGAAATCTCATCTTGGAAATGAATGGAAGAAGCCATTTGCTGGTTCTTCTCATGCGAAAGGCATTGTTCTTGAAAAGATGTAATTTTTCTTTTCCTATTTAAGTTTTCAACTTTATTTCTGGTTTTTGGTTTGAAATATAACAAATTAACAAGTTTCCATACATTGTTTACAGTGGTATTGAGGCTAAGCAGCCTAACTCTGCTATCAGAAAGTGTGCTAGAGTTCAACTCATCAAGAATGGAAAGAAGATTGCTGCTTTTGTTCCCAACGATGGTTGCTTGAACTACATCGAAGAAAATGTATGTTTTATTTTCTTTTGACATCATTACTCATATAAAAGAAACACCCCTTATCTTGTTGTAAAAATGAAACAACCATGATAAAGAAACAGCCATTAAGTCGATATTTTTTAGCAAATTTGATGCATCTTCTCTAATATTATTTGAACATTTATTTATATTGAGTTGTAAATCTTGTAATATGATAGGATGAAGTGTTGATTGCTGGATTTTGGGCGAAAGGGGCATGCTGTGGGAGATATTCCTGGAGTTAGGTTTAAGGTTGTGAAGGTTTCTGGTGTATCTCTTTTGGCTCTTTTCAAGGAGAAGAAGGAGAAGCCAAGATCTTAAGTTTTGAAGGGGTGGTTTACATTGTTATTAAAACTTCTTACTTTTTTCAAAGAGCCTAAATGGTATTGTTGTCTTTAAGACTTGTTTTGCAGACAATGCATCATTAATTTCGGTAGTGTGTACTTATTTTTGGAGTATTTTACATAAATTGTTCATGTGGTTTGGTCCAATCACCATCTTTATCCTACCAAGAAATATGGTAAATCCCATTTTTTTGTTTTGGATGTCAAACTCCTATAATTTTAATAGGGTGAAAGAAACAGCTAAAAGTTCTAAATGCACTTTGAGGGAATTTGAGGAACCCCATAAAAACTCCAAATTTACAAAGGAAATACTCGATAAATGATGGTTTCTTTTTTTTTTTTTGTACTTTTGACATAAGACATGATGCGTAGTATGTTCGCGGTGTAGCCTAAAGTACAGGAACTTGTGATTTTTGTATCACATTCAAAGCTTCATCCGTCTAAATTCCCTAAAACCAACAGAACAATATTTTCAAGCTATCCAAAATTCCAAAATGCATTTAACATGTAACTTCCATTATACACCATTATCATTTAGACTTAGTTTGGAAGATGTAAACAAAAATTTCAAAATTTTAAAATGCTTATAGAATATTAGGTTCGGTTTGGGTATCCATAGATATCTAGATATATAAACTGAAATCAATCCGTAGTGGCTTAGCCATGTGGATGCAATGGTACAATATATATTTTTGTTAAGTAAAAGGAATTTGGGCTTCATGTCACCAACTCATAACAAACTTGAAATTGAATACACTTTGCCAATTAAAGAATTGATGTTGCTGCTTTTTGAATAGTTTCCCTCACTCTTTTGTATTAAATTTTAATTTCCTTTTTGAATTAATTAATTATTCAAGGTTAGTATCAGGGGCGGAACACGAACATTAAAAGTAGGGGCCGAAATCAAACGCTTCAAAACATAACTACATAAACAAATTTAATTTGATTCAAAACTACAAAAATTCAAGATGAATATTTTTAGATCGGTTCTCAAGAACACCGTGAAATTTTCAACCAAAACATTTGTTAGTAGTTTTTTGAGGTTTTCTTTCTAGAAACCCATAACAATAATTGTTTTTTGATGTTGCTGTATAATACTTCATTGCAAAGTTAACTAATAATTAACAAACAACAAAATAAAATATCAAATAACATATATAGTTTGATAACAACTAACTTAAATTTTATAAAATAACAAATAATGTAGATAGTTTAACAAACAAAAAAAAACTGAATACTCCGGATGAAAACCAACATAGAAATTTTTATTTTAAAAACAATATTAAATTCATATAAAATCAAAAATATCAATCTACAATCACTGCATAATAAATTTCCTGTGAATTTGGTATTAATAAAGTAAAATACATAATAGTTATTTCACTCTATTCTCAAATTATAAATATACATTTAAGTGATATTTGTTATTGTTATCAAACTTTTCAAAATAAAGAAAAGGTAATATCTATCTTTTGCTTAATGTCTTGCAGATTTACAGTTTAGTTTAGTCTTTTCATATCATCATCTATTAGGTTAGTCTTTTCATATCACCTACTAGATGACTGTATACAATATTTTTCATTTATAGTGACAGAGAGAAAGGAAGAGAAAAAGAGAGGGCAGTTACTACATACAACTTAGCTTAGTTAGGCGGAGGAGACACTAGAGAAAGCTGCAATAGGCGGAGCACACGACGAGGTTAAGTGTTGAGTACTCCGACTACCGCTCGGAGATGAGGGAGAGGATACGGAGGAGATCACTGTGGCGACCGGCGGAGGGGAGACAAAGAGTTCACGGAGAAGACGAGCTAGTCCGGCGACGGTGTTACTCTTTTGGTGAGGTTTGATAATTTCTTTTCCGGCAACGACAATAAGTTAGTAGGGTTTACTGCTTTCTTAGGATTATGTAAAAAATGGTAAAAGAGATTAGATATTTGTTTTTTATGTAGTTTTCTTACTTAATTTCCTAACGAAAAAAGGTTAATTTTGATCTAGTGTGTGAGTTTTTGACTTTTGGTTGTAATTTCCTATCTTCAACCCACGCTACTAAACTTAAAATTGGAAGGCTAATTAGTCATTGAATTGATTAGAATTAATAAATAAACATATTTAAAGGTATTAGAAACCAAAAAAGCAGGGGGGCCATGGCCCCTCCTGGCCTCCATGAGCCTCCGCCACTGGTTAGTATATATTTTTTATTATCTAAATTACTCAATTATTTGTTTTTATTTTCTATCATAGGTAATTTTTAGCTTACTTCTTACCGATTTAGGTTTGTATTGATTTTATATTTTTATTGTAGGTTTATCATAAATTAGGTTATTACTTGTTGCTATGAATTAATTGTTTGTATTATCATATTACATATAAGTTTGTTTTGTATAAGAATATAAGAGTACGCTTTTAATTGTATTTTTTTGTGATTACTGAATTTTGTTGAGCAATAAGAAAGATTTCATTAAGCTTTTTGGTTCAGATTCAGTTTTAGATGATTTTAATGATGTAAGATAGCGTCGTGTGCAACTTAAATGAACATTTTACTTTAGAATGCATATATTGTTACATTTTTTTTAATCATTTGATGTATTTTGCTACTCGTTCATATTCTGTAGAATATTTGGTCTACCCTAAAAAAATCATTTCTATGTCACTGTTCGTAGGTGCTCGGTTTTTATGATGATTGTTGTGATCGCTCCGTTTTTCAGTTCCCACCATGACGAAAATGCATACAAATATCATTTTTCTAGATTTCTAGAACTTTGGGCCTAAGTAGATTTAACCTAACAATCATCTCTTGGTAGCATCTTATGAACACTAAAATGGTTCAAATATTCTATTTATGGACCATCCAACTTCCGTCTAAGAACAATATAACTCAAATCTAACGAAATAATCTAAATACTACCTACCACTCTACCACCAATGTAACCCGATTCTTTATGAAGTGGAACCAAAAAAGCAAAACCAAACTGGAAAAGTTGAAACCCGAATTTGAAATGAAAAAGAAGAAGCAAAGACCACAAGATTGAATTGGTCAAGATTGGATCAAGACCGAAGAAGACCGAACTGGAAAAAAAAACAGCCCACCATCGGGGTCTCAAACAACTCACACCAAAGACCGTTTCGACAAAGATCGAACCGCTCTGAAATCTATTAAACCCTAATAGGATTTTTAATATGACAGGATAATGTCTTGCATGTTAAGCTGAAATCGATTTTGTTCACCTCTTAGATCAAACCCTAATAATAGGATTTTTAATATGACAAGATAATGTCTTGCATGTTAAGCTCTTTTCATTAGTTGCTAGCATGCAACTCTTCTTCGTTTAGAAGATGTAATTGTATAAAGTTGATATGTTATATACGTATTATGTATTTCTCATGTGTTTGTTGATTCATGTATAACTAGGTTAGTCGACTAATTGAATTATTTGTTATTCATTAGTTTTCTACATCTATCTAAGATTTGATGTCTTTGCCACCAAATAACATTTGCATATAAAAAAATACATTTAATGTATAATGATTAAATAAAAAACTAGCCCAAATGTAGTAAGACCCCAAACTTCTATATATTTGTATTTTTTTTCTTCCAACTTCTAAGACGTTATAACTAATGAATGTTATAAAATTAGTTTTTTGGACTATAAGGTTAATTACTTAATTTTCATTTAGACGCATTCACATTGTTTATTCAATAAAGACCTTATACATATAACATTTTATCCTGAAGAATATCATTACTTTAACAAGTTTACTCATAAAAGACTTAAAAAAACTGATATTTGTTCCTTTTAACATATATATCCACACTACTCAACACCAAAGTTAAGGCGGTGTTTGTTTTTTTAGAGAAGCTCTTTTTGAGCATTTATGTCTGCGAATAGAAAGACATTTACGTCTTCACGTTTCTGCAGACTATTTGTTTTTTAGAAGATCATACATGTCAAAACGACTATTCGTCCTCTTTTACAAAAATACATGAACCTAAGTTTGCGAACAGAAAGACATTTTTCACATACATCTTTTAGACATAATTATAAACTATACTTAAAAAACACCGTTTTAGAATAAGAAGGTGATTATATGTGTAATATATAACATATTTAAAGGTCTTTATAATATTTTGAAGTTATTTTTGCATCAATATTAGCTTCATTTATACGACGGTTTCCTTGTTTTGAGAAGTAAAAAAAAATGAAAAATAATAGAGCAATTGAGAAGTAAAAGAAGGGGCAAATATATGCGTTCCTTTTCATTTAGGGGCTGCTATTGAAAAAAGGAAAATTAAGAGGGTGACAATATAGCTTAATACATAGCTGAGGGACAATATTTGCAATTTACTTTCTTTTTAACGTCACAGCGTTCAACTTTTCAGCCGACCGCCTTCCCTTGTAAATTCAAAAATTCATTCCACTCCTTCGCAATTCTCACACACACATTTAAACAGTGGTTTTCTTCGCAGATTCAAATCAAAAGGGTTTTTCATTTTGCAATCCGTGAAATGGGAGAGAATGCTGAGAAAGATCTTGATGTGAAAGCATCAGGTGCTGTCAGCGACGACTGTCTATCTCAGGGCGATGAACTCGTGATCGATGTTACGTCTTCTTCCACACTTACTGAGGACCGATCTTCAGGTTATTTTCTCAGGGTTACATAGGATTTAACTTTGATTTCTTCTGTAGGCAAGATATCTACTAGTTTTTAATCAGGCATTATCTCGATTTTATTTTTTTGACGGAAAAGATAACTTGAATTCTGATGATGTCTAATCCTTTTTTCAATTTAATCAAATTCTTTTCAATTTTAAGATTTTTCCCCTTGAAATCAACATGAAAGATATGGCATTTTTTTAGGAATAAAGGAGGGTATGATTATGTGCGTCTATGCTTATAGTTTATTGCTTCTAACTAGTAAGTGATGGGGAACTTCTGAACTTCAGAGCAATCTAAGAAGGAAGATCTATTAGTGTCATATCATTTGTTCAAACTAATTTGATCTTATCACATCCCCTATCAGTCTAATTTTTCTCTTTTTGCATGTGGTATTTATCCAAATTGAGGGATTATCTGAATAGTTGCATTGCATAAGAAATGTACAGATTTTTTTAGCAGTATTCTCTCAAGTGGTCTGTGGCTATTTTGTTACATAACAATTGTACCAATATCCATGTGTGGACTGTGGACATGGCCATTAGTATCACTGTAACCTTATGCATACTTTTAACTCATGTTATTAGTTTAACTTAATCTGTATGACATCCAGGATCTGTGCATGAGACAAATCTTGAGCAATTAAGAACAACTGAGATTTATGCTGATAAAACAGCAGACATGGCCCAATCAAGTGAACAGATTGAAGAAATGGCTAATCTGAAATCAGGAACAACTGAGCTTGATGCTGATAAGACAATTGAAATAGCACAACCAAGTGAACAGATTGAAGAAATGGCCAATCTGAAATCAGGAACAACTGAGCTTGATGCTGATAAGACAACTGAAATAGCACAACCAAGTGAACAGATTGAAGAAATGGCTAATCTGAAATTAGGAACAACTGAGCCTGTTGCTGATAAAACAACAGACATGGCCCACACAAGTGAACAAATTGAAGAAATTCCCAAACTGATTGAAACACAAGAACCTGAAAAGAAAGGAAAGAATACCAAATTCAACTTACGCAAAAGTTTAGCTTGGGATAGTGCCTTTTTCACTAGTGATGGTATGCAATAATTGCAGAACACTTTTTCTTTTTACTCTTGCAAATTCAACTCCATTTTCAAAATCACTTTCTTGTACACAGGTGTTCTTGATGCTGATGAGCTGTCAACCATGATTGAAAGAGGCGAGAAGGGAATGAAAAATCAGTTACCAGGAATCGAAGAGGAAGTATACAGATCAATGGAATCAATCTCAACATTAGAAAGTGATAGCTTGACACTTGAATGTCTTGAAGCTGAACTATTTGAAGACATTAGAGCTTCAATCCAGAAATCCAATACAAAATCTAACCTCAATAATAACTCAACTATCAAAGTTCAATCAGGAAAGAAAGATTCTCAAGCAAAAATTAGCATCTCAAAAAAGGTGTTGGATCTTGATTCTGGGAAACGGGTATATACTACTTTTTTCATTCTTTTTCTGATTATAAATTTACAATAACAATTGATCTTATTATCCACTTTTGATCTGTTTCTAAAGCCTGCTGCAAGAACCAAAGATAATAGCACTTCATCAATTCCAAAACCAAAGATAATCAGCAAAGTGAGCTCCACATCAACATTAACAAAAAGAGCTTCTTTAAGCACCAATCAAGCAAAGAAAGATCAAGATCTTTTAAAACAAGCTCATGGTAAAAAAACAAGATTCATTTCTATTCTTTTTGTTTTACAAAAACAGTTTCTTTAAAATCTGATTTGTGTTTTTAACAGTTACACATAAAGGGATCCAATCAGCAAAGACAACAGCAAATGGAGTGATTAATCCTCGAAGAGGTGTTCCAAAGCCTTCATTAACTTCCAAATCATCATCATCATCATCATCAACATGTAGCAATTCGAGTAGTTTTTCAGGAAACGATTCAACTTTTTTGAGAAAAAAAGTTGATTCCAAAAATGGTAATAAGCTTACAGCTGGACCAATTCCCAAAACACCCTCAAGGATTAACACAAAGAACAAAGTGCCACCTGTCAATTCTCGTCTCTCGTTTCATACAACACTATCCAACCTTTCTTCAAGTGTATCACCTGCTAGCTCCATAGATTTATCTTCAGAATCATCATCATCAACCTCCATTACTCGAAGGTCTATAGAATCCATTGATTCAGCTTTGAGTGTTCATAATCATGCAACTGTTTGGAACAAAAATGAAAATGAAAATCAAATTTCTTCACTTTCTCGACCTCCTTCTGTTCAACCTACAGGACTCAGAATGCCTTCACCCAAGATTGGATTCTTTGATGGGGTCAGTTTTCTGAATAATTTTCTAATTGCTATTTCATAAACAGTTTTAATTGAAATGAATCAATGATGATTGTGATTTGTGAATTGTGATGCAGGGAAAATCAGGTGTTAGAACTCCAAATGGAGGTGGCAATGCCATACGATCTCAAACTAGGGTTCCGACAAGCTCAAATGGTGTTAATAAAATTCCACCACCAAAAACAGGTTTTGTGAAACCAAATCCTCAGAAAACTGGCTCTAAACAACCCTCTCAAGAACAACCAAAAACAAGTTTGAATCTTTGCTTAAATCCAACTGATAATGATTCAAACAAAAGCAAAATGGAGACATTTGATAGCTCAAGGACACCATTTGCTGTGAAGAACTCTGTTTGTGAGGTTAGTGAGAGTGGTTTGACTATGGAGGTACTTGAAAAGGGTGTTGACTTTTCTTTTGTGGAAAGTCAACATAAGGAAAATAGTGAGTTTATTTGATGTTTTTTAGGGGTTATGTTGCATAGGTGATTGTTATTTTGTGTATTTTGTTATAACTTGAATTCTGGTATGGTGTTTTCTGTTTTGATGATGGTGATTTAATTACAATATTATACTTTTAATTTCACCCAAGTAGATATATTTCGTTAATTTTTTTCAGTAAGTCTCTAAACCTATTTCATCGGTATTGATGTTGTTGATACTTGATAGTGGTCTAAATAGTAAATACCTTTTTGCAAAATGATTTTGAGTGATATAATAATGTATTTTTCAAGTTAGTTTAGATATATCTTGAAGATTAATTTTATGGATATTTCGCAATTCTTTTTAATATACCCTCAAATGATAGTTGTTAGTGGAGTATTATTTATCCCCAAAATTAATACACGTTTTTGTTTTTGTTTTTGTTTTTCTTTTTTACAAAATTATGTATATTTTATGAAATGTTTATTTGTTTCGTGAAAAAAACATCTCGGTTTTTCAAGTGCGTATGTTCTAACTTTTCTTCTTTAAGAGAATGCCAACAATGAACTTAAAAATACCACTAAAGGAAAAAAGAAAAGGAAATCGACGAATTGATAGAGTTTATTAATCTTTAATGCTGCAGTAGACGGCTAACAAACAACTTATAAGGAATAACTCGTCCTTAGTATTCAAAACACGATTGAGCAATAATGAATTACATGATGCTTGTATTGATGATTTTAGAGGATCAATGACCATGATATTTCTACAACGAGATCATCTACATAAATAGCAACATAATCATGTGACTTCAAAGTCAAAAGAGAATTATAAGAAGCCCTAATGTTTTGAATATTTTCAAATTAATATACACGCAATGAATATTAATATTAAATTTTACTTTTAGATTGCAACATTTTTTTTTGCCAGAAGGTGCATATATTACTATATTAGTTTATAACCCGTGAGAACCACGAGTTATAAATTTAATTAAACTTTCATAATAAAATTTTATAATTATTAATCAATTATTTTAAATAAATTATTAATTAAGAGATATATCAAATTTTTAAAGTTAATATAACTTCAAATTTAACATATAATTAGAAAATGTAAATTTGAATTTTGAAATGAGTTGTCTAATATATCTACATGACACATGATATAATATTAATGAGAAGTTGTATTAGAGTTACACTTGGCAAAAGTAGATTAAAACTATTCATTTATTAGAATAGGGATTAAACTATCTTTATTGTAATATATATATATATATATATATATATATATATATATATATATTATATATATATATATATATATATCTATATATAAATAGAAGCTTTATGAAATTATTATCGTTTAACATACTAACTTTAATTTTAATTATTATTTAATTAACAAATATTAATAATTATTGTTTATTTAAAATATATAGGATTATAAACATATTAAATTAAAAGAAATAAAATTATTTAAACATAATCAATAGAGTACATAAAACATACATCGATATCGAGTTGTATTCATACAACTTTCTTTGCCATTCTGACAATGTTGTATCAATTTCTAATAATTTCATCGCTAGTTTACTTTTTTATCGTCCATCTTTTTTCATATCGTGGTCTTTCAAAGTTCTTGTGTATTCTTTCATTAGGTTTATTTTTTTCCATTTCGTTGGCATCTCTTTGTCTTTCTTGTATACTAGTACACCATTTCTCTTCATCATGTAATGCCATCCAAATATGCAAAAAAGTGAATTCGGAACCCTATGAAATATATAATGTTAGACCCATTTTTTTTGGTCTTCTTCATTTAACCCACTTTCATGCTTATGTTGGATTTGTTCATAACACCCAACAAACTTATAAACAACTCAGTCCAACAATAATGTTAAAAGTTGTTGTGTCACAAAATTTGTGGATATGACATGTGTTTTTTTTGGTCTTCCAGGTACATTAAATGACATCAATATGTTAGACCGTTCTCCTATTTTTTACAAGGTGTTAGAAGGGAGAGCATCAAAGGTTAACTTCCAAGTGAATGGTAACAATTACAATTTAGGTTACTACCTCACAGATGGAATTTATCCTAATTGAGCTACTTTTGTAAAATCAATACCATTACCTCAAGGACCGAAACATGCACTATTTGTAAAGAAACAAGAGGCAACTAGGAAAGATGTTGAAAGAGCATTTGGCGTATTACAATCCAGGTTTGCAATTATTAATGAACCATCGTGTATGTGATGCAAAGAAATAATCGGAGAAAGAATGAGAGCATGTATCATTGTATACAATATGATTGTGGAAGATGAACGTGATTCATATATTCATCAATTTGATTATACAGATAATGATATTAATTTTAATATATTTAGGCTTTAAATTTCCCGAAGTCGTCTTCCCTCATACGACATGTATTTTCAGAGTCATGCAAAAATCCGTAATAATCCATAAATCATCAACTACAAGCAGATTTAATAGAAGAGATCCAGAATCGATTTGGAGACGATGAAAATGAGGATTAATATTGTAATATTCATTTTATGTTTCATGTTTTTATGTCTTAATATTTAAATAATTAATAAAGTAAAATAAATTTAATACTTATTATTATTTTGTTATTTAAAAATATTATTTTATTATAATAATTAAATTTATGTTTATTTATTATTGAGTAAATATTAATATTTAATATTTAGTATATATATGTTAAAAACTTAAAATAGATAAAGTAATTGTTGATATGGCAGTGGGGACCACTTTTAAAAAATGAGTGATATTGTATTGATGTAGAAATAATTATTAGACCATCCGATATGCTTGTTACGAAAGGATTCGTGGTCTACGTGGCCACTAACCACGAATGTGAACACCATCCTAAGTGTTTGTGATGACTAGTGGTGGGATATAATGGATGATCTTATAAAACATGTTTGAAAGATGAGTGATTTTTAATTGATGTGGATGATCTAAGTAGTTCGCTTGTAGATTAGTTGTTCATCCTTTAGCTTGTGGTATATGATGTAATTTTATTAGTTATTAATGATATTCCAATTACTTTTTAGGTTAATATTCACATACACTTCAACATGTAAATAAACAATAAATAATATTTAAGATATATTGGACATATTCGATAGAGTTATCAGAAGTAACAACATAATTTAGCATATTTGATCGACTTATAGAAAAAAAAATCCAATACTCAAAAATTCAAAGACCAATTCGATATATTTGATATAAGTCAAAAATTGTGACACTGATTAGCCCCAAACACCTTCCTCTTCCTGTCATGTGTTGCATGAAAATAAGTTCAGTATGGAATAATCTATAATTTGCTCAATAACATCTATTTTGCTCAACAAAAAATAAGTAAGACTAATGTGTCATCCCTAGTAACAAATGAGGTATCATGTCTCTCACGATGTTCATAATGTATATAGTTATATACAACATAAAATATTGTTTATCAAATCTACGATTAAATAGCCATGCCAGTTTCACGAAAATCAACGAGCTGATTTTTGTGTGTAACTGGAATTGTGAAACTTGAAATCCTTAATATTACGAGAGGTTTATTAAAAAAAAGGTTAAAGTCCATTGAACTGACTTGAATTGAATATTACCACCTTAATTGAAACTTGCTTAAAGAATGAATTGAATATTACCACCTTAATCAGATTTTATAAAGAACTCAATCATAAGTTGGTAATGTGGATCTCCTGAAACACATTAGATGCACGTGGAACAGTAAAACATGTTTCAAAAGATTAATTGATTGCTGATTCAATTCTTTTATATGATTTAAAATTTCAGTCGTTGAAAACAATAATAATAATAATAATAAGGATACCATACATATGACTACCAAAACTAACGTAATAACATAACAACATCGATGCATATATAATAATCCATAACAATATTGATATTTTATTTTATCTATAATAAAGTACCATTCTCTTGTTATATATATTTATGTATATAAAATTTACCAAAATTAAGTTTAGCCATATATAATATAGTGGTAACAATAATAACTTGAGAAATACTTATAAACCAAAGGATTAATCCAGCAAGCAATAGAAATAGAAATAGAAATATAAATAAAACAGGAAATAAGTTTATGTTGATAATTAAAATTTAAAAGTATAGTACTAGAAAGTAGAAAGTAGAAACATATAAATAAATTACGATAAAAGCAAGCAACCACTGTACAAAAAGGAGCTATTGGAGGGTTGATGCTCGTCAGTCGTCAAACATGAAACCAAACATCTTCTTTCTGTACACTTTCTCCTCCATAACCTTTCACCAATCTACCACCTACCTCTCTCTTCTCTTCTCTTACCAGGGTATCTACACCACCATCACCATCACCATCACCATCACCACCACCACCACCACCACCACCAACCACCGCCACCTAAACTGATTGATAATTACATATAATATTCACAGCATATACCATCACCTAAGAGAGATGAAACGATCCTTGCCCTTCTGTTATTGCATATAACAACTTCTCCTTCATCATTTCCTGTAAAAAAACCCACCATTTTTACAACTTGTTAGCCTTGGAGGCTGGACCAAATAAATTAAAACTTCAAAAATAAGGACCCAATTTGCATGATAAAACAAACGTTTTGGGACCAAAATTGCAAAAATCATCTATACTAAGGGACCAAAAATGTAATTGATGTGTTTTATATAACCTTAGAAGAATACGGAGGCAATTTCAGATAATTAGCACATGTCATCACACTTGGAAGATCCGCATCCACCACTTTATCACAAAGCTGTCAAATAAAAAAAAAAATTAAAACAAGTCCCAAAATATGATTAATTTTAAAAAAGAAAAAGAAAATTACGAAACTGACCTTGCGTACGATTGTGAGTTTTGGGTTGAGTGATGCCAACCCACCAATAGGAAGCCGTGGTGCACCAGTCACAAATTTCACAAAAGCTTTTTGCTGTTCATAGTCAAATTCTTGTATGACTTCCAGAAACTGCATTTTTCTTAAATTTAATTATTAAACCAAGAAATTAAAAAAAGTAAAAAGGAATAATAAAAATAAGAAGAATTAATAGTACGAACGTGTATAATGGGAGGACTACTAGCAGTATATCCATGATCAAACTTTATAAGATCTGAAAGCTGGTT